GGAGACAGAAATTAAATCCCTGCACTGTCTCGGCTATTAGCTTTGCACAGTCTGGCCAGTCCAGGTGTTTTCTGTCCCGCATGGAAAACGACAGCAGATCCTATAGAAAAGAATTGAACAGAGATAAAACAAAAACTCAGCTTGCCTTCTGTTAAGTGAGACTCAACCCTGGAGTTCCGTTTTCATTTGACAAAGCATCAGATCCAACTGTTCTATGTAATTCAGTGAGTTAGGACATGTACCATGTATACAGTAGGAATTAGGGAAGCACTTATGTGTTGATAAGGCATGTTTTATGGCAGCTTTTATAGCCATTTACTTTTAGCATGTTATCTCCCTGTGCCAAAGCAAACTTTCCTGGGAATCCTATCTCTGTTCTGCTCTCCTATCCTATCTACAAAAGCTCGGTGCAGCAGATGCAACACTCCATGGGTGTTTGTTTGTTTCCAACCGCCGTTTCAGTCCATCTTGTCCTTACAGAGAGGATATTGCATTGTCTCACAGCGGGAACCACAGTACTGGTGGATGGCTGGGGCTGTGTTTGGTGTCCAGCCCAGGTGTGCGTGTTCTGATTGCAGACGGGAGGAGTTGTGTACAACAGCTCACATTCTGCTACTGTAGTAGCTGGAGCCTGTGTCAAGCCTGTGTATGGAGCCTGTCTGCAAGGACAGGAGGTTGCCAAGCCCCAACGCACGCCGGTCCCACCGCTGTCCGAAAGGACGGCACCCTCGATCCCGCTGTGGCTCCCGGGGGGCAGAAATGTGCCCGGAACCTTTGTACTCCTCCTCTGCGCAGGCGGACGCGCTTGGTTCTCCTGCGTGTTGATTGGTCGGCGGCTCGGAGGAGACGGCTGCTATTGGCTGAGCGGGCTGCTGTCCTTTGACTTCCGGTGTCCCCCAGTGAGGCGCTTCCGGTCTGTCCCGGCTGTGCCCGCGGCCTCGCTGCGGTGCTCGGGCACCGGCAGCCTCTGTGCGAACGCGAGCGGAAGGGTGAGGAGAGACCTCGGCGGCTCCGGCCATGCCGCCCGCGAAGGCCGGCGGTAAGGAAGCCCTGGTGCTGCAGTGCGAGTGGGAGGCGTGCAGCTATGTGGCCTCCGCCATGGAGGAGTTCTGCGGGCATGTGGCCCAGCACCTGCGGCTGCACCTGCCCGGCGAGCAGCGGGACGAGCTGGATCCGCTCGGTAAGGAACGTCTGCCGCGAGGGGCTGGGATTACCCTGGGGAGAGCGGCTCTGCCTGCTGCGGGGCTCAGGTCCCGTGGAGGCCTTTGTAGGTTTATCTTCGGTGTTTGCCTCAGATCCTCACGGATCTGTTCGTCTCCTGTGTGTGTTGCAGAGGAATACACGTGTCTGTGGCAGGAATGTGGTTTCTGTTCCCCGGAGAGCCCTGCCGACCTCATCCGCCACGTCTACTTCCACTGCTACCACACCAAGCTAAAGCAGTGGGGACTGCAGGCCCTGCAGGGCCAGTCAGAGGTGAGCCACTGCCAGCTGGACTTCCAGAGCCGCAACATCGTCCCTGAAATCCAGGAGAACTTTCAGTGCCTATGGGAATACTGTGAGGTGAGAACAGAGCCCTAGTTCTGCTTTCCTGAGTGTTGTCTGTAAGGTGGGAGCTGAGGGAAGGGGAGTCGCTTTTGCTCTGCCTGCTGTGCTCTGGCGCATGCTGATCTCTTGGCTCTGTTCTGTCTGTTCCTCCTCCCCAACAGAGATCATTTGATAATCCCGAGTGGTTCTATCGGCACGTGGAGGATCACAGCTTCTGTTCGGAATACAAGGCTGCTGGGAAGGAGAACCACGTGGTCCTCTGTGGCTGGAAAGGTATCGGGTGCAACACAGGGCATCTGCAACAAATGTTGCATGGGTCTGTGTGGGCAGCCTACCACACAGTCAGGCTGTAGATGCTCGGCCTATCGAGCCCTTGAGCAGAGGATCTTAATGGCGTCCTGTTCTTCCTGTTCAGACTGTGACTGCACCTTCAAAGGGCGCTGCAAGCTGCGGGAGCACCTGCGCAGCCACACACAGGAGAAGGTGGTGGCCTGCCCTACCTGTGGTGGGATGTTTGCCAACAACACCAAGTTCTTTGACCACATCCGCCGTCAGACCGCGCTGGACCGTAAGCTCCTGGGGGCAGGGGGTGTGCATGGTTGTTGCTCCCTAGATTCTAGGCTGGCAGCAAAAAGAGGGTGCGCAGACAGAAGGCAGAGCAGTCCTTGCAAGTGCTGCTGGGTTTTTTTTTCTGCTTGTTTGTGTCTTTTGGCTTTGTAGTTAGTGTCTTCTACCCCTGACTGGAGGGGAGGGTTCCTAGCTCCACTGTAACTGCATCCTTTTTTTCTCATTTGTTGCTCTGTGTGTTCTGCTCTCTGCTTTGGTCCCTTTCTCACTTCTCCCTCCCCTCTCTTCCTGGTGCCATTACTGCAGAGCAGAGGTTTCAGTGTTCTCACTGTTCCAAGAGGTTTGCTACAGAGAGGCTGCTTCGTGACCACATGAGGAACCACGGTGAGTAAAGGCCCACTGTCCCAGCTGAAGCTCTCAAGTCTGCGTTCCCCCCGCTCTGTGGTGATGTTTTCTCCCAACTGTTTCCCACAGTGAACCATTATAAGTGCCCTCTGTGTGACATGACCTGCCCACTGCCCTCCTCCCTGCGCAATCACATCCGTTTTCGGCACAGTGAGGAGCGGCCATTCAAATGTGACTACTGTGACTACAGGTGAGGAATGGGGCTTTCTGATTTCCCTTGCTGTTGGCAGAGAAGCACGTGTGTGGTGCACAGCATTCGGCTTTGTTCACCTCTTTCCTCTTAGGTGCAAGAATCTCATTGACTTGAGGAAACATCTGGATACACACAGCAAAGAGCCAGCCTACCGCTGCGAGTTTGAGGCTTGCAGCTTCACTGCACGTTCCCTCTGCTCCATCAAACTGCACTACCGGAAAGTCCACGAGGTAGGAAGGCAGCAGAGGGTGACTGTGTGTAATCTCTTCTGGCGAGGCTGAGAAGCTCTAAATGCAGCATGGTCTGCAGAAGCATGAGGAAGAAAAATGAAGTTGCACGTAGAGCCCCAGGCTGGCCAAGGCTGTAGGAATGTGAGCTCGGATTGTATTCCTTTCTTCTTGCTGCAATGACAGCTTGTGTTAGTCTTGGAGAACCCAGTTCTTTCCTCTGTTACATGGTGCCAGCCCTTCTGATCAGTCTGCAATAGGTGTTCATATCCCTCTCTGCCTTTCAGGGTGACTCAGAGCCCCGCTATAAGTGCCATGTCTGTGACAAGAGCTTCACACGTGGAAACAACCTTACTGTCCACCTCAGGAAGAAGCACCAGTTCAAATGGCCCTCGGGGCATCCTCGCTTCAGGTACTGCTCATCCTTAGCTCCTCACACCCTCTGTTGTAGCAGCTGGAACCACATCCTGCTTCTTGCTGGAGCCAGTAGAAACATGGCAGTGCTTGGGCCCTGGTGTTTGCCTGCAGTGTGCTCAAGGCTCATCTCCCAGTGGCTGGGAAGCACTTGGAAACAACCATTTGTTGGGATCTGACTCAGCCACGGAGCAGTGCTGCACAACAGCTCCAGCAGTGGGTCAGAGATCAGGCAGCGGTGCCTTCGCAGCTGCATCTCGTGATACACCTCAGAGTTTGGCAGGGGCTGGGTCCAGGTGTACTGCTTAGAAAGAGCTGCTGCAGATCAGTCTCCTGACAGATGTTTTTCTGCATCATCTCTAGGAAATACCCAAAGAGTTTCCAGAACCTAAAAGCAGGGAGGGGGAGAGGGTGAATCTCCAAATGCTCCTAGTGAAACAGAATGGGGAAAGGAGATGGAGTTGAAAGGTGTTAAAGGCTTGGCTGCATTCTCAGAAGCTGCTCGATGGGTGTGCTTTTTAGGGTTTTACTTTACATGTCTGGTGTTGGGTTTGTAGTGCTGGGCTTTGGAGCCCAGAATACAGTGCCTTTTCCTTGGCTGCTGCTTCAGGTTGTTGCCCTTTTCTTTGGGCCTGTGTTTAGGTACAAGGAACACGAGGATGGCTACATGAGGCTGCAGCTGGTGCGCTATGAGAGCATGGAGCTGACGGAGCAGCTATTGAAGGATGGAGAGAAACAGGAGGAGGCTCTGGATGGCTCCACTGACGGTGTGGTGCTGTCTGAAGGTGAGGGCAACCTGCAGGGCATCATTCTGGAGGCTCCAACAGAGGTTCCCTCTGTGGAGAGCAACGTGTCCGAGCCACACGCGGCCCTGCTGCATCCTGCAGCCAGCTCTGAGCAAGCACAGCCCAGTACCTTCTCAGGAGCAGTGCAGCCCTCAGAGCAGGAGCCCAGCACCCCGGCCAGCCCCATCATCCGTGTGGTGAACCGGACCAACGAGCACGGGGAGAGTGAGACTGTGTATTACATCATGGCCAGCACGCTGTCAGAGGAGCGGGCAGCAGCAGCCAGCGGGCTGGCTATGGAGCTGGAGGAGAATGTCATGGACCGTCTGCAGAAGACAGCTGAAGAGCTGGGTATCCATATTGTGTGATGTGCTAACCTGAAAACCGTGGGCTTCTGTGGGACGTGGTGCAGGGAGAGGCTGGGAGATGTGTAGAGGGGAAGGGTCCAGTGTGTCTTCTGCATGCAGATGGCTAGCTTTCTCCTCTGCCTCCCCCATAACTTGTTCTCCGTGGGATGGCATGTTCCTCTTCTGCCTTCAGTGCTTTCCTGAACATCATCTTCCCTGATGATCAGCCAGTGCTGTCAGAGGCGTTTGCACTGCCATTTCACTGCATTGATCTCAAAGGGAGGAGAGGACTGCAGGAAGGCACTGGACCTTGCAGCGTGGGGGGCTTAGGGCCTTTCTGCTTTTGTTTTTCCTTGAGTTTGCTCCCCACGCTGGGGTTTGGGCTCCTGGTTGGGCAGAGTGTACTTTGGAGAGCGAAATAAAGGTCAGACTGCCAGGCCAGCCAGCATCTGGTGTCTGTTTCAGCCACGTTCCTGCCAGCTGAGGGATGCTGTGGTGCCATGGTGAGGCCAAGTTGCCGAGGGCCTGCAACATGGGGCGAGCACTGCAGAGCTGCCAGGATCTATTGGCACATGCTGTGTGCTGCTGCTTGGTGCAGCTGCTTCCTGCTTGGGGCGTGCAGTTCCATGTCCCCAGCGGTGTCACTGGAAGGCCAGGTTTTGCTTAGGCTGGTTGCTGTGCTGGCATGGATTTGATTTTTTGCTGCCTCCTTCTGGCCATCAGTGTCAGCTGCCTGCAGTGATTGTGGTTTGTTTGTTTGTTTATTTCTTCTGAATCTAAAGAGTAGCCTGATCTAATGAGCTGAGCCAGCTTCCTCTTTTGTACATGATATGGACAGTGCAAAGCTGGAGTGACCCTTGGATCCTCACGAAGCTGCGTGTGGAGGTGATGTGCCCTGATGGAGGCAGGAAGGCAAAATGGTTGACTTTTCCCCTCTCATCCTCGAGCAGTTTGGCAAAAGCTGCTGGAATTCCAGGTTAATGGAGAAAATCACTTTATGCTGAAGCCTTGGCCATCTGCTCACTTTCTAATTACAAGCACTGTGGGTGTGATCCGTGTTAGTGCCCTTGGCCAGGAGTGATGAGAGCAGCCCCTCGGGCCTGTGCCCTGGTTGAGATGAGGAGCAGAGTTGAAGTGGGGAGAGCTCCCTGCCCCAGACTGAATAGGAAAGCCTGGGGCTACACACAGGTTTGTAAGCAAGATGCCTTCCTTGGATCGGTGAAATGCATATGGAGCCAGGCCACTTGTGCTTAGACTGAGGCAGGGCAGGAAGCAGCTGTTGCTCCAGCAGCTCTGATGGCATGCACTGTCAGAAGATGCTGCTTTCTTTTATGAGAGCATCCCTGGGCTACCAGCATGCAGTGTGCCCTGGCCTTGCCCAGCCTTCCCTGCTCGGCGCCTGCTCACTGTTGCTTGGCTGAGCTGGGCTGCAGATACCTTGGAGAGAAGGAACTCGTGCCAAGTTTGCATTCGCAGCACTTCCATCTTGGCTCCCTTTCCAACACACGAGCTCTGCTGCCAAAGCCGCTGCTCTGAAGCTGCAGCATTCCTGTGCTACCCAAGTGTTTGGTGTTGGGAGTGGAGTGGTGGCTGAGAAGAGTTGTCCCTTTAAACACTGGGTCCAGAGAGGGTAATCTGCCAGGGATTATCTCATGGGGAGAGGATTGGCATCAAGAGGAGTCTCCTCCCTCTCCTGGGCCCTACAGCATGTTGTGCTGTGTATGGAAACCAAGTTCACTTTCTCCTTGGCAGTGTTTGGGGGTGAGGGGAGGAGAGCAGTGCTTGCACTATGGGGCTGGGTCTCCTCTTCCTCACCATGCTGGCCACGCTGGTCTCCTCTGAGCACCCAGAAGGTAACAGGGTGTTTGGGAGAAGGGTTGCTTATGGGGTGCCCTAGGGCTGCTGACACAGCAAGGAGTAAGGCCCCGTGCCGGAGCTTGGTGCTGGAGAAGCCGGAGCTGGGGGATGTGGATGTGCTCCTCGCTGCAGCAGGGCTTGTGGCTGAGCCTTTGGGCACCACCCACAGCAGGGCTCAGGGCTGAGGAGCTGTTGGAACGAGTGGTCCTCAGCCCCAAGCCTTGCTCCCATGGCACCAGGAGACCTGGATACCTACTGGTCCGGCACTGCACCCATCTGCATGGGGGGCTGCAAGGGGAAGCATAAGGAGCTGAAGAGGAGCCAGTGTGGGAACGGCAGCTGCTGCTGGCTGGGCTACAAATCCTTCTGCCGAGGTACGGCCACTCAGGGGCTCTGGGAGTGCACGGGGCAGGTTTGGTTCCCATTCCCCTCCACGCGTGTCCCATCGAGCTGCCTGCCCACGGGAACCTCCCCATCCCCAGTGAACTGCGGGAGGCCCGAGGCAGACTTCAACTCAGTGGTGCATGGCAATGACTGGTGGGTGGGCTCTGTGGTGCGCTACAGCTGCCGGCCCGGCTTCATGCTGCTGGGGGACCCGGCCAGCGCCTGCCAGTCTGACGGCCACTGGACGCCCAAGCCCACCTGCCTCCGTGAGTACAGTGGGGTGGGATGGCTGTTGCTGTCCCAGCAGCCCACCGTGGGGAAAAAGGGGCTGGTGGCTACACTGGGGACGTGCTCCAGACCTGCTCCTGCAGGGATCTGCCTGCGAGGCCGGATCGAGATCAGCGAGCGGGACATCAGCGGGAGCTGCTCGTCATCCTGCAGCACCCAGAACCACCTGGGAGCCTCCCTGCGCCACGGCTGCATCAAGATCTCCTCCTGCAGCACCAAACGCTCGGGCTGGGTGCGCTGGTTCCTGCGCTGCGACGTCTGCGAGTGCGACTGCCACGTGCCCTGCGGGGAGACCCAGTAGCAGCGCCCACCTCCGGTGAGGGGTTGATGCTGCCCTTAGGGAAGGGGTGGCTGCAAGCTGGGGGCTGCTGAGCAGCTCAGCATCTCTGCTCTCCTTACAGATTCTCCTGGCAGAGCTGAGCCTTCTGCACTGAGGTCTGCTGGCCACGCATCTCCGGTGCTGGGCTCTTCCTTTCCATAATTTCTATCCATCCTGAAGCTGTCATCTGGGAGAAGAGTTTTGGGACTTGCTGCCTTTCTGCGTGGCCCCATCACATGGCATGCAGGGAATGCTGTGGGCAGCAGGAGCAGGGCAGCTGCATTGAGGACTTGGAGACCTCCGCGTCTCCTGCTGGCTGCTCCCTAGAGAAGGCTCACATCCTCTTCTAGCAGGCAGGCAGCACTTTGCCTGTCCTGCAGGCTGCCATTTCTCTCTGCTAGTTATTTCCTGCCCCTGTGTGCAGTCAGCAGGGCTGTCCTGCTGCTCCATCTGTGCAGGCAGGGTGTGGGGGCTGCTGTGCATGGTGCCTGCAGGCTGGGGCTGCTCCTTCCTGCAGTGTGTGATTTGCTCTGACACCCCCCCCAATCCTCCCCAGGGACATCTCTGGGTAGCTGATGCCTTGCAGCCAGAACAGGTAAGGACACAAGACCCCTCCTTGGTCCTGGGTTCCCTGGGATCCCAGCCCTGAGCCCTTCATTCTGTCCCATGTGCCCTCGTGTCCCACTGTCATGATGGTCTCTGGGTGCCACCTGCTCCGCAGGGACACCCTGGATCCCTCTGAAGCAGCAATGGAAGAACCAAAATTGTTATTCCCTGGGGAGGAAGAGGGGCAGGAGCATGTGTAATGGGATCAGCAGGGGAAACGGGCCCAGCACCACCACCACTGTGGGTAACTAAAAAAATTGTTTACAGGCAATGACACAGATTTGCAGTTATGCATGGAGGTTCTGCTGCCTGCTCCGTCCCCACAGCCCCACACAGAGAGGGCAGCTGCTCTCTCAGCTCCAGCTGTAAGCGCCCTGGGTCAGGAGGCAGCATGCTGAAATGGCTTTGGGATGAGCCCAGCACCTCTCCTGCTCCACGAGGAACTGACTGCAGGCCTCGCTGTGGGGCTGACTCTGATGTTGCACCCTCTGTCTGAATCCCATTCCTAAAGGGCTGGATCTCTGCCCCCAGCTCTGTCCCAGCCCCCCCGATCCGGCTGTGAGAGAGGAAAGATTTCCTTAGCTCACCAGATGGGTATTTTAATTAATACTGTTGTTAGTGTCACTCATTTCCATATGGCTTTCATGTTTAAGTGCTGTGGTGGGTGAGAGGTGTGAGCGACAGCGAGGAGGGAGCCAGGTGTAGCACAGTGACAGCGTGCAGGGGAGTGTGTGCTGGGGGCAAGCTGTGGGGTTGGCACCATTCCACCAGGACCCTGGGGTGGGCAGCTGTGCCCTCTGGCCCTTGATGCTTGCTGTGACCTTTCTGAGCAGCGCTCTGCCATTGTTGCATCCTGCTTGTGCCCTGTGGTGGAGGCTGTTGGGTGCAATGCAATGCAATGCAATGCAAAGGTAGCTCAGTGCAGGGCTAGGTGAGCCCTGGGAGTGGGCTGTGGGGTGAGGGGCCGTGGGCTCTCTGCTGTGTCAGAGGTGCAGCGGTGGGGACGGAAGAACGGGGGCTGCCAAATCCCAAGCTTGGCAGCCGGGAGATGCTCGGGGCCTTCTGCATGACACGCAGAGCAGAGCGGGGAAAGGAAATAAAGCCGGTTCCTTTAAGAGGGTTTTTCGCCGCCTGGCAGCGCCGCCCGGGCAGCCAATTCCCACCGTCCCGACACACGGCGGCAGCCGAGACAGCGCCGGCGGTGGGGGGCACGGACGGGTCCGGGGCACCAATACGGGAGCGGATAACTGCGCGGAACCGGTCCTCCCACCTCGCCGCCCGGCCCTGCCCAGCCCAGCCCTACAGAGGGATGGGGAGCGCATCCCGGCTGGGGACCCGCGGGGGCAGCGCTAAGCCCGGGGAGCGGCACTGAGCAGCGGCCGCCGCCCGTTCTCCTCCCCTGCGGTCCATCGGTGCGCACCGGGGGCTGCGGGCGCTCGGCCCCGCCGCGGGCATCGCCCCTTTGTCCGCAGGGGGGTGGAGGGAGCGGCGGCGGCGCTGCGGCAGTGCGCGGAGCGGCGGAGGCGGCGGGGAGCGGAGCCCGATCTCGTACAGGTGAGCGTGGGGAGGGTCCGAGGGGTTGGGGTCCGGCGGATGGAGGGAGAGGGGATGGAGGAGGAGCGGCTCCGGAGGAGATGCCCTCGCCGGTGGGGTGGGGTGGGAGGGGATGGGGAGCGGCTCAAGGAGTCAAGGTGAGCCCGAGGGCGGTCTGTGGCTCCCGCAGCCCCCCGTCCTGCTGGCCCTGTGCCCTGTGTCTGTAGGAAGGGGGAACCTAAAGCGTTCGGAGGGAATGGGGGTGATGGGATCACGCAGCCCTCGCTCGCCCCTTTTCTCCCCCCAGGGCCGAGGCTGGCTGTTTTCCAGCCCTGAAAGAGATCTGTCTGCATCGGGGAGAGGGCTGGGAAGATCTCGGCGCAGCTCCTCGCGAGGCCATCCTCCCCTTCCAGGGGATTGTGTGTGTGCATTGCAGCTGCGGCGAGGAGCTGCCTGCAGCCTGCGGCTCAGCAAAATGTAGGTTAGCACGGCATTAGGACCCCGGCCCTGCAGGGGAGGAGGGGTGCTGAGCTCAGCAGGGCACGGCTCAGCCTCCTGTCCTCAGCACAATGAGGGACCACTAGCCCCAACCTCATCTGGGATGCTGCAGAGGCTTTGGGGTGCAGCGTGTTTCCCACCCCGCCTGGCTCAGCGTTCCCCCAGCTCTGCAGAGCCGTCGTGCCAAAGATTGAGTGGATCCATCCCTGTATATTCCTTCCAGAGCAGCACAATGGCAGAGAAAGGCATGGATCCTGCGTGCGTCTCCATTGCTCTGGAGGACACAGTTTGCCACGCCGGCCCCCCGGACGCCCCGCTCCTCACCACCCACTTGAAGAAGGTGGAGAACCACATCACAGAGGCCCAGAGGTTTTCCCACCTCCCGAAACGCTCTGCTGTCAACATTGAGTTCATTGACCTGTCCTACTCTGTGCGCGAGGGCTCCTGGTGGAGGAAGAGAGGTAGGAGATGCCTGTAGGACTGGGGACCCCTGAGGCTGCCACATCTCCCCTCCAGTCTTCTCTCATCTCTCCCACACCCCCTGCCCTGGGTCCATCCCTCTTTGCTGATGCAGGCAGCCATCTCTCAGCTCTGCAGGATTTTGTCTGAGTGCACAGTAGTGGGAAATTCCAGAGCTGCTCACCCTGCTGTCCCCTGTGGCCACCCAGCCCTGTGATCCCCAAAAGCAGATCCCATCCCAGAGGTCGTATGGGGCAGGCAGGGCTGTTGCTTGGCTTGGGGCTGACAAGATGGATGGGTTTTCTTAGTGCTGCTGTGCTGGCAGTAGGAGGCCCCAAGGGGTGCCCTGGTGTGCAGGGGGGTGCTGGGCTTGCAGGGGGTTTCCTCTTTAGCAGCTCCCTGTGTGCAACTGCGGCCAACAGCTTAGGGAGGGGAGGCAGATGGTAGCTGATGGATGGTAATCAGCTTTAATTAGCCCTGTTAGTTAATGGGATGCCAATCAGGTTGGCCCTGTGAGGAGGGGGGGGAATGAGCAGGGTCCTGGGGTGAGCTGGTTGAGGGTGTGGGGTCCCTGCTGCTCCCAGCTAAGCTCTGCAGCTGGGGAAGCTGTGGCACCAACGGACAGCAGGACCAGCCCAAAGCCCCCAGGTTGAGCTCTGCCTCCTTAGATGCTGGGAAGCAAAAGATGGAGGCTGGCACTAAGGAGTGTTTGCATGCACTGTGGTGGGGACAGACTTGGGGCAGCTGGAGCTGGGACTGTGGGGTTGCACAGCGGGAACTCTTTTCTCCCCTGGACGGCACACAGGAGCTGGTGTGGAGCTCCAGGTGCCTTTGTGCAGGATCCGGCCGTGCTGCCGCGCGTTGCTGAAGCAGGAGGTTACTGGCAGTCAATGAACGCGAGTAACCGCTGCGCAAGCTGCAGTGGCACCGACGTGAGCAGCATGCGCTGCCGGGCTGTGCGCCGCGCTCACCCTGCTGCCGTCACACAGCATCCTGCTCGCAACTCCCAACCCCCAGGGCCCTTCTCCTGGGGGTGCCTGATCCCAATGGGTGCTGCTGGGGCACAGGAAGATCAGGGTGCTGGACCCCTTCCCCTCGTATCCCCTCCTATCTCCTCCTGCTTCTTTCGCTGCCCTGATCCTTAGGCTCGCCCCAGTTTGTGGGTATGGATGGATGCGTTGTCCTCACCCGATGCCAGCTGATGCTGTGGGGCAAGAGGATATATTTCTAGCAGGGAGATGCTCAGATCTGTGGTACCCTGCAAACCACAGCTCCCCAGGCAGGGCTGTGTTTCGGGGCAGTTTCTGACAGCCTGAGGCTGTGCCTGTTCCATGCTCCCGACACATTGCGTTCCTGCTGCCAGAAAATGCTAATCAGCTGCCTTTAAAGCAGAGATAATTCCAGGTCTGATTAGCAGTGGCTGCTGCCGAGTGTCACGGCATGAATACCAATGAAGGCAGCAGCCAGGCATCTTCTGCCCCATGGCACCCTGCTCCTTGCTGTCTGGGGACCAGGGCAGTGCCACAGCCTGGTGGCCTTCCTTATGCTGTGTCCTAGGGGTTTTCTGATCTTGTCTGCATTGGAAATGGGTGAGCTAATGGGGAAGCAGGGACAAAGGTTGTACTGGGGGGTGACGGCCATGATGATGCTGGCAGAGGTGGTCCCTTGGCACAGCACATGGTGGTCCCACAGCCCCCCAGGTGCCGGGGTCCCATTGCAATCCCACCATTCTGCTCTCTCCCTCCAGGCTACAAGACCCTCCTCAAATGCCTGTCAGGGAAGTTCTGCCAGCGAGAGCTCATTGGCATCATGGGGCCATCGGGTGCTGGCAAATCCACGCTGATGAACATCCTGGCTGGCTACAGGTGGGGCTGGAGGAGGAGTTGGGGGAGCGGGGCTGGGGGCTGTGTTCTATCCTCTCTGTCCTGTAGGGAGACGGGTATGAAGGGTCAGATCCTGGTGAACGGGCGGCCGAGGGACCTGCGCACCTTTCGCAAGATGTCCTGTTACATCATGCAGGATGACATGCTGCTGCCACACCTCACCGTGCTGGAGGCCATGATGGTGAGCGGGGCTGCAGGGTTTCCTGGGGCGGCTGCATCCTCAAGCGGGAGCTTCCCAAGAGCTGTGGGATGTGGGGATGAAGTCCTGCCCTTGCTCTTGTATCACAAAGCTGGGGATGAGTATGGTATCTAATACGATGTTCCTATTGGAGGTGTTCAAGCCCAGGTTGGATGGGGCCCTGGGCAGCCTGGTCTAGATAGATATGAAGGTTGGTGGCCCTGCATGCAGCAGGGAGGTTGGAGCTTGATGATCCTTGAAGTCCCTTTCGACCCAAGCCACTTTATGATGCTTTGATCTCCCTGTTCATCTTCTCCCTGCAGGTCTCTGCTAACCTGAAGCTGAGCGAGAAGCAGGAGGTGAAGAAAGAGCTGGTAAGTGAAGAGGAATGTGAGTTCAGGGCCCCTTGTCTTGTTCTTAGGTGGAAACAGTGGAGAAGGGAAGGAACTATGGACCCTCAGTGATGGGGACGTGGCAGCAGGTGATGGGGGGGAAAAGGTGAGGGTCCATGGGAGCTCATGGTGAACGAGGCTCCATCCCTCAGGTCAATGAGATCCTGACAGCCCTGGGGCTGCTGGAGTGCTCCTACACCCGCACCATCTCGCTGTCGGGTGGGCAGCGCAAGCGCCTGGCCATCGCCTTGGAGCTGGTGAACAATCCTCCAGTCATGTTCTTCGATGAGCCCACCAGGTGAGACTGCAGGAGCTCCCCACCACTGGGGGACACCAGGGGGACCAGAGCCCTTTGGATCCAAGAGGGGCTGTGGGACACCGAGGGGACTGGAGGACAACAGGGCTGGGGCTGCAAAGGGATGCTCTCCTCCGTCACGAAGGTGCCCACGTGGTGGTGGAGGTGTCTTGGAGATTTTCTTCTCCTTTTCTCAACTCTCTCCTTCTCTCTTTGCCATCTCTTTCTCCTCTGCCCCATCCTGCAGTGGTCTGGACAGTGCCTCCTGCTTCCAGGTCGTCTCCCTGATGCGTTCCCTGGCTCAGGGCGGCCGCACCATCATCTGCACCATCCACCAGCCCAGCGCCAAGCTCTTCGAGATGTTTGACAAGGTTTGGGCTGGAGCACAGGGCTCTCTGGGGGGCAGGTCATTCTGACCATGCAGAGAGGCCGTGGGAAGGGCTGGTGCAG